GAAAAGAGGAAAAGAGGAAAAGAGGAAAAGAGGAAAAGAGGAAAAGAGGAAAAGAGGAAAAGAGGAAAAGTGTAAAAGAGTAAAAGAGGAAAAGGAAGAGGAAGAAAAGGAAGGTCTGCATTTGTCGTTCAATCGTGAGCCCCACTCATTCAACCTTACTCTCAGCCAATCCACTCGGTCAGATTGCCAGTCGTCAATTGGTCGCTTTACCCTTCTCGCCCGCCACTGGCTCCCTCGTCTGCCTCTTTGAATCTAGCGTTGAGAGCCAGACACGGGCTGAAATTCACTACCCCTTTATCCACTTTCACTCAATCAACTACGTACTCGTGCTTTCTCCTTTGCATGAATCATTGTCTGACGGCCTGGCACTGACGCTGGTCGCCCTTACATCTTCCCGCATGGCACCAAGTCGGACGAACGAATCAGGCTAGAAAAACATCGCGTCACTTGTCTGCATGGCGTGTTCGCCAATCAGAACGCAGCTATTCAACTTCGCAATCGATCAATACGGTTATGTAAGTGGGGATTAGCGAATATTTTCTCAATCAATGACCCTCAGGCGGCCTCGGTTGATTAGTTCGCTCAACGCAAAAGCGGTCGCATTCGCCTGCCTTCTGTTTACTCGCACCTCGCGCCAGCGCGCCGACTCTCTGTCGGCGATGATTGCACTCCAATATGCTCGTTCCCACCCTCAGCCGGCCATACGCAACCAGCCCAGATCAGATTCGTTAACTCCTTTAAATTCACACCTCATCCCACAGACTAGGGTTCCGCGCACTGTCGTCCACTTAGTCTCGCTGATAATCATTCATTGTACGTGTGCTCTTCATTCTGTTGAGGAAGATGCCTCACCACAATCCGAATGGGCATTGCTTCGGCTCTGGCGGCCCCGGTGACCTCGTGCTGAACTTTGGTTTTTCCCTCCGTGACGTTCAGTGCAGGAAACAATTTGTTCCTGTTTTGCCTTGGCGACTGTTGCTTTAAGCATACTTTCCGAGGTGCTCCGCGCTCACATTAACTCTTACAACGTCAAGGTAATCTTCATTTATTTTCCTATGGGGCCAATTGATGAGTCCGTCCACTTCTCCCTCCAAACAAAATGCAACTTGCAAAGCCCAGCGCCTCGTCATAAATAGCAAAGCTTCACTTGCTAGCACCGACACACACGCTCGACCGCGCCCACACTCACACCATTCGCCCATGTTGTTGCCTCAGTCTCGTACCCACTCACTTATTCTCTCAGTCAGAACTCCGGTCGTGCACACGCGCATTTCATCGGGAACTGGCGAATTCACGGTTATGATGACCTTCAAAGTGTACATGACCAACGCTCCTCATTCTGTGATTGCCTGAACTGTAGGCCTGAGCACAAGTCTATCTAAATGCTCTTTCGAACATCTAGTTACATTCTGATCGTCATGGCGACTGATGTAGTGGAGCATCCTTTGGTCCTAATCTTGACATACGTTGAGAATGTCTGCTTCCTTCCTCGCGCATTTCCACTGCCTTCCCTCCAGCCCTAGTGACTCACTATTCCAGTTGCTCCAATTCATCACCTCACGGATGCACACACACACACACTTGCACATGCAATCATACGCAACTCCTTTATCCATTCGTCTGATAGGCTACATTCGAGAGGCAAGAAAAGTCGGTTGTATTGTTCTGATAAAAAGGCTGTCTCACGGACCAGCTCGGAACGCAAGAGATTGTTTCGAAGACTTCCACCCAAGCCTCCCAGCAAGATGCTCCAACAACAAGCTAGGAGCAGACCAACCGTCGTCTTCATTAGTTATTGGCCTACGTAGCTAATCGCCACGAGAAGTAGGAGTTGGCCTGCTAGCGGTATATCAGAACATTCCTCGAAACATATCACTTTTTGCATCTTGCTACTCTCGTTTACACTGTTTCTCAGTCTCTCACACTCGTACTCCCTCACTCGTGGCATTTTTCAGACTCAGACACCATTGTAATCAGATATATGAAGGTAAGCCGGGTTTCGAAGACTTCATCTTGGAACAGGGCCATGGTTACAACTCCAAGGCCTGTTTCTGATGAGGCCGATTCACGAATCCCTTCTACCAGCCTTATCAAACGAAATGAAAGCTATAACAACTATTGCGCTCATTCAATCGGGGGAGCACCTTTTCGCTGACAATCCATACCAATTCCCTCTCTTTGGCTTGCGACAATGCGCACTATTTCAGATACACGGACAGTCTACGACTCAGGAACCTTTCCACACATCCACATTGTTATTCAGAGGCGCTTATTGATGCTCAAACGCATCTAATTAAAATTACATGATCCAGTCACGACCAACGCCATTCATTAATTTCATTAAATTATCACCCAGTCACGCTCACACTCACACATGTTCCTGGTTAGCTACTGGCTCTCGCACTCATTTACTCGTCCTCACAATCAATTCCTCACGTTCTAATCCATTGGTTTGCATTTGTAACTTCCTCGCTCACCTACGCGTCACACTGACACCTAAACCCTTTGTAACGATATGCCTCTACTTCCGTCTTCTCTTGTGAGTTTTATCGTTTACCAAGTTTTTTTACCGGTCGCACTCATTAGCATCGGTCAATCGTAGCTTGTATTTATAGTTTGGCAGGCCATTGGCATTCGCGTTGGCCCCGTAAAACTTAGATTCGCACTTTTTGCGTCACTGTGGGTCTAAATTAAGGAAAACAAGTAATTACTCAAAAATGTCCGACTGTGGGTGTGGAGTGCCATTCTCGTAGAAAGTAAATATTTGGGATCTCAAATAATTTGGAAAAAATCAGTTTGTCTAGAATCAGGAACCTGGTCATTTCACCTTTCGTTTGCATTTAGACGTTCTCAACTAACAACCTAGCCTCATGGTTGCCAGAGTGTTTTAAACCTGTATGTCCTCCAAAAGAGTTTCAGTTGCTCCGTCGCTGTCAGAGTGGATCTTGTCTGCATGCGTGATATCATCTGTCTCGAAGTAAGGCGCAGAGGAGTCGGAAAGACTTAGACGTGGTAAATTTGCGAAGAGTAAGTAATGAGGTATAAGAGCTGTATTTACCCTATTTTGTTTAAGATGACGAAGGACTGATCGTTTAATTTTCCACGATCATGTGAATAGGCCCCATGTTTCCATTTTATGTCACATTGCCATTCTTCTCGAAAGGTATTTTCATTCAAGCAAGAGAGGAATGCAGTTTCGACCTAGTCTAGGTTTAATCCACACCCCCAGCTGGACTAGAACCAGCACACTTTAGCTTATAATCTCTACATTTTACCACCAACCTATCATATACTTCGATTCCCGCTTGTAGAGTTGACGAGACCTAGGCTAGGCTAAGTGAAATTCGTTGGAAATGTGAGGACTATTCACATAATTGTGAGAAAATTTAATCCCCAGTCTTACATCAGATGTGATCTGGGGCAAATAGAACTCTTATACAATATTTACTGATAGTTTCGAAAGCTACTCTTTATAATTATATGTCAACTCCCTAAATGGATCCGAGAAGTGGGCAAGTAAATAGGCCGTTCTTAAGTACTTATATTCCATTAGCGATAAGTGTGCGAAGGCGTTTAATACAGTGGCAATATTTACACAAGAACGAAGTTCAAGAGGACTTAGAATTGCGACAAGTTTGAGACATTACCAGCGAGGCTTCGCTAACTACATACAATTGGTAGGCAAATCAATAGCAACCATCCAGGCCCAGAAATGAATACGTGATCTGATCCACAAATAATTTGCTCAGACATTGGGTGAACCAGAAGGCTTCTATAGAAAAGTGCTGCTGACATGGGGGACACTTTTCGGCATAGTAGTCAAAATGATAATTTAGAGCGATTCGAAGAAGTCGAAGAGGAAAAAGGATTCCAGCTGCCGTCAAAACTGAAATCGCAATTTCAAGTCATGAGGTCAGACCACCCAGCCACTCACAGGAGTTATCAAATCAAGTTGTGAACGGTATTCACTAGGAATACCATTGCTTTCAGGTGAGATGGAGGGTGTATTTCGTAATTACAATCTCTGTTTGGAGTAGACTCTTGACTTGACGATTACTTTATTAAATTATGGTTGAACTACGGCTACCGGGATTTAGGTGAAATTATATTGTTAGTAATTGTGCAAATATGTGAGCGAGCTTATCATTTCCAGATTCAGATGAAATCTTTAATCAGATTACACTTTCTTCAATATGCTTCGGCACGCTTTATATCTACTACATCTCGTTTATTTAAATAGCCCT